CAACTGGAGTGGCAGTCTAACTCAATTGGCAACCAGAATCCACAAAGAAGAAAACTGGATCCTCTCAGTGATAGCAACTCTCTACTGGGGAGGAAGGGGCTGAATTTCTCCGGCCCCGCATGCCACACTTGAGACCTAACTAATTTATTTGACAGAATCAAGATCCAGATCAGGGAATGAAAGCAATGAACACAGTCCTGACACTGGATAGGTTCCAGCTTAACTAGATGAGGCTGCTATGAACATTGCTTTGTGACAGTACGGAGACAAACTGATGCAGAGATTTCACTGGCCAAGAAAAGTCTGATTAGGCAAATCTGAAAGTCATAATCTACTGTGCTTCACTGCAGCCCTGTAAGATATACTTAATATCTCAGTTGACAACCCTTCCCTGGGCGAGTCTCAAGCAGATGAACACCACATTGTGGATATTTCCCTTCTGGGATCCCACCTTTCAGAAGCATGGTGAGAACAAAGAAGAAGAGGGTTATTGAGGCAGATAAATGCCAACCTAATATATAATAGAATGCTTTCTATATGAATACCACTGATTAAAAACAGAGACAGGTATGGCTTATGAAGAGGAGTGGGAGGGATGGGAATCAGAGGCAGAAGACCTGTTTGTTTCATTAAGGCCCCCTCTGACCTTTACCTCAATAATTTGAGTACACACACAATGGACAATTTAATCACCATCAGTGGCCACACCAAAGAAGCTAGGGCACCACAGTCAATATGCTTGTTTAAACACAACCAGTGAAATGCCTGAACCCATATTTCCAAAGCCCCAAAATTAAGCCACTGAGCCCAAAAGGAAGGTGTTTGATCAAGAAGAATACATCAGAAGAGAGACACCTTACCTAAACATTTGACCTCCCCAACAGCATACGCAGAGGCGGCTCTCGGTTTGTTGGTAACAAGTGCAAGCTCTCCAAAATACTGTCCCTTTTGACACCGAGCAATCTCCACCTCCTGGTTTGCATCCTTGTTTGTGATAGTCTGCATTAGAAATGCAACACTTAGAAGTGCCTCTCGCTTGTGAACACACCAAAAAGCTTCCCCCCCCCCATGAATCCCATCCATACAGAGACAATTTGAGCAAGTACTGCTCCAAAGTTTGTGGTTATCAAATGAATAAGGAGCATCTTCTATGATGGCGCCCTCACTGACCAATCAAGGGCGCCCTCACAGACCAACAAGTGATGAAGTTGCTGTTGTTTTCCTGAGCTGTGAACTCCATATACCATTTGTAATTTGCTGTTCTGCTGCTCGCTAGGTGCAGGGTTTGGTTCTGAATAACAGCGGAATAGCTTTAAATTGATTCTGAGACTTTTAATAACTGATTTTACTGTTATTCTTTCATGCCCCATTTTCAGTCACCAGGAGGAAACCTGTCATTATACGTGTGCACATATTTGTATGCAAATTTGGTAATGGGGAGCATTTGACTTGCCTAGGGGAAAATGTTAACATGAAATGATCCTCAGGAGCAACCTCATGCCTAGAAATGCCATTTGTGAATTTGCCATTGCCCCTGATTGGCACGTGTCCTCCCACTTCCACTGAGCAAAGCTTGAAGCCTGCTTCCAGCCCAAGCTAGGACACCTGCCATTATCAAAGAGATCACGTTTCAAAATTAGGAGTAGAAACGGGGCTTGGATCCCACAGAGCATTTCTGCTGACTGGAGGATTTTTATCAGTGGGGCATGGCTTTCTTCTCCTCCCTTCTGATGCAGCCCAAAATACAGAAAGGGGGAAGCTGGGAAAGTTGTACTCTGCAAATGGGGAGTCCGTTGATCGTAAGAAATGCTCTGTCGGATCCATCCTCTAGGTCTGGTGCAGATATTCTCTAAGCTGTGGCTAAGGGATCAGGACGAGGCCGTAGGCCCACATTCTCCCTCCTTCACTTATCAACATTTAATCCTTCTGTAATGTTTTGTCTGTGTTAGCACTAACCCTGTTTCACAGTCGTGAGGGTTCACAAACCAGCTTCAAATCTAAGTTTGAAAGCTATCTTTGATGGCGGGAGAGAAAGGGAGGAATGTGTGCAATGGAAAGAAGAAGAGAGCACATGAGAAAGCACAAGAAAGCACGACTCCTGGTTTTTCATCAAGACTGAAAGATTAGCAGCAGGACATCTGCATTTAGCCACTAAGCCTTTTTTTTAATGTAACGTATCTCATGTGCTGACAGTCACAATATACTCTTTCTGACTGTCAGCAAAGCTCCTGAATTTCCTAATGGAACCTTAATAGGATTCAGTTAACAAGCAAGCAATTTGCACAATCTTCAGTCTTCTGCCTTTTCAGAAGCTGTCTTGTTTATTCTGAATGAAGTTAAGGTCCTCCCTCTATACTGCCGCAGGGACATTTATGAGGGCCCTAGTTGTGACAGAAATAGGCAAGCCGAAAGAATTTTGTCCATGCAGAATACTGGGCTGTCTCTCTTCAAGCCACTAAGGGAGCATTTTAAAAAATTGTTCAAGACCTCTGCCTCAACATACACGCGCCTCATACAACATTAACCAGAGTCAGTCTTGCAAAAAGCAATCACCATTCCTGGAAATAAGACAGAGGCACTGGCTTCCCTGGTTGCTTGACTAATTCTGCATTGACTGGCATCTTACTCAGGGGCTTTGCGTCAGCCATCGTCCAGAGAAAGTAGGCTGTAGGCTTCTAAGAGTGCTCCTTCTCTCTCTTTTAACTATGCTATTTTATCTTCAGACATATGTAACAGCACAAAGGGACTCCTTAAGGTAGACAGTTAAACTCGGACTTCTTTCCCAAATCAAAACCTATTAAAGCAGACTTAAAGTAAAGGTAAAGGTTTCCTTTGCTTGAAAGCCAGTCAAATCCGACTCTAGGGGACGGTGCTAATCTCCGTTTCCACGCCGAAGAGCCAGCGCTGTCAGAAGATGTTTCCATGGTCATATGGCCAGCATGACTAAAGGCCAAGGCGCACAGAACGCTGTTACCTTCACACCAAAGTGGTATCTATTTATCTACTTGCAATTTCTTGCTAGGTTGGCAGGAGCTGGGGCCAGAGACGGGAGCTCACTCTGTCACGTGGCACTGGGGTCTCGAACTGCCAAACTGCAGACCTTCCCTTCTGCAATTCAGCGTCTTAACCTCTGAGCCACCATGGTCCCTAAAGCCGACTTAGTTTAACCCATACCACCTCTATGACAATTTTGATGGGTGCACCAGTGTATTTACTCTGCTGGGGCTAGCTTTAAGCTTTTGGGAACACTCCTGCTAACTGCCTAGTCTGGCCTTAATCATCCTATCAACCGCCCACTGGTGCTTTATTACGTACTTTTACCCCAAATGGCCACAGGATTCAAGAAGAACGGACCATATCAGAACACCGTGGGGGTGTGGGGGTCTTAACTTTCGATCCACCTTTCCAGACTATTTTTCCTCTCTCAATTGCAAGCCACCACTTATTGTACTTCACCACAGGCATATTTGAACTCACCTTGCTTTTAATCAAGATTTTTACTTCACCAGATTCTACAATGTAAAAGCTGTCTGCTTGATCACCCTGTGAAGGCAAGGGGGGGGGGAGAGGAAAAAAAAACTAATCAGATGTAGCTTGACTTTCTACAGTTCTGTTCAAATTCTGCCATTCAAATCGGACTGTGTGTCGATTTCCAAAACACTTGCCGGAAAAGGCTAAGCATGGCACAGAGAGGGAAAGAACAAAGTCCCTGTTGTGAGAATTAAACATGAGAGAGCCATCACAAGAAACCTGAAGCACGGCAAGAGTTTTGAAATGCTGGGGTGGGGGGGTGGGGGGGAGAGAGACAGGCACAGATCAGTGGGCTAGATTCACCACTACTGAACACCAGTCCCTCAAGGGGATGATGCTGTATTCTAACATGCATAAAGGAGTTCCAAAAGCTTTGAGCTTCTTCGCATTCTTGTAAAATTCAGGATGTGTTCGTTCAAAAAGACTGCAGAGACTTTAAAGAATGCCTTGAACTCTGAGCACTCCACTCACAGTTAACAGCTTTATTGTGTACGCTAGTATTCTTACAATGCTCTGACCTGGATGGCCCAAGACTAGCCTGATCTTGTCAGATCTTGGAAGTGGTATGCCAATAAAGGTTATTGGAATTGGATCCTGGAGGCTAAGCAGGGTCAGCCCAAGTCAGGGTGGCCAGGTCCCCTCATCACCAATGGGGGGGGATTTGGGGGGTGTTCCGGGACGTCCCTGATGCAATAACGTCACCCAGAAGTGATGTCATCGCATCAGCGTCACTCTGGTTTAAGGGCAAAACTCAATGGTTTTAGGCCAAATTTACCATAGAGTTTTGCCCTCAAACCAGAGCATCGTGTGTGATGTCCCCAGCGTGTTGACATCCCTTCCAGGTGATGTTGTTGCGCCCAGATGTGGCTGTTTGGGGGTGGGCCTTCCCAGCTGACCGGCAGCAGGCAAAAGCCCCCCCCCCCAAGTGGGGGAACCACCACTGGGATATGGGGACTGGCAACCCTAGCCCAAATCAGTACTTGGATGAGAGACTACCAAGGAAGTCCAGGTTTGCTCCACAGAGGCAGGCCACTGCAAACCACCTCTTATCTTGAAAATCCTATGGGGTCACCATAATTTGGCTGCAACTTGACAGCACTTTCCACCACTATTTATACCAGAATATAAAGATGCAGAGTGAGCACCGGCCTTAAGGCAGTGCCTTTCAAGCTTTACAGGCTGTATAGCCCCATGCAGTTCATTAGTTTCCACTGATGTTCTAGTTTAGACCCTGGATTCAGAATAGTCAACTGAAACCAATCTTGGCTATCATGAAGTCCCAAGTTTACACCCCACTCAGCAATTCCTTTCAAATTAAATACACCATGCCTCCCTTGGTTCCCATCCCCATTTTGCTATAATTATCGTCTTTCATCTTTAGATCAAATCTATTTTAGGTAAAAACTACTAAAGTAAGGAACAGGGACTTTATACATTTCTCAGAGGCAGGGAAGGCAGGTTGGGAACATCTTTGTGCCTTCTGTATGAAATCTGGCTAAACTTCTGCTCCACCTCCATTGCAAATATTCAGCCTGACCATGGCCAGAGACACAAGCTGAAGGGCAAGAATGAAAGGGCTCTTAGCCCACGGCTCTCATCCTCTGGCCCCGAGTAAGCCAATCCAGTGCACTGGACTTGTGGTGGGTATATGCTTTTCTTTCTGTCTTTGTGCTTTGTTTTGAACTATTACTTTTTCTGGGTAATTCTGTAAGCCACTTCAAGTCCCCAGGTGGAAGAAAAGCGGGATATAAATACCTAAATAAATACATTTTAACTGTTTCTGCAACAAGGAATTCTGCAGCAGAGTTGTACCATTAAAGGTTTTATTGTATTTTTTGCGGCATTTTAAATACACTGCTTCAAATCTAGCATAACTGTAAGCTGCCTAAAGCAGTACAGAATACATGCCCTAATTCCATTCACGTGCATCTGGTAACAAGCCCTGCACTAAACCAAGGGACATTTTAGAGTCATCCTGAGGGCTAAGCTACTGGAGATGAGGGCAGCTGCATCTAAAATAGAGTGTGGGTGTGAACTTTTTACAACCACAGGTGTACATTGGTGAGGGAGCTGAACCTTCCTCTGTGTTATCTAAGCCGCTTCCATTGCTTCAAGCAATCTTTTAAAACCAAGATTATGGTTTTTAAAAGCTATGGTTTATAGAGCTGCCAACCCCCCCAGTTGATGTGAAGGATTCCCCAGCCCCCTAGTCCTGTTGCCCACCATCACTCAGAGCAGCAGGAGAAAAATAATCCCCACCCTGCAACACCAGCTGCAACGTCATCTCATTTCCATTTTTAAAAACCTTAAGTGGCATGGGGTAGCTCTCAGGAATCACTTGAAACTCTAAGGTTTTATTATAGAGTTTCCAGTGATTCTCAGAGCTACCTGAATCACTTCCCTTTTTTTTTTTAACCAGAAGTGACATGATGCCATGACAGGCATTGCATCCCCACAGCCCTCCCACTGCCCTGGTCGCACTGTCTAGCAACCCTGAGGGTTTAGAATCCCAGTTCTTCGGTAAGATAAAGTGTATTTTATTACTGCACCCAAATTTGTTTGTCACGACAAACTATGCTTAGAAGAAAGACTTTCCTTGCAGCACATGAGGCAAGAGCAGAATCATAGGCTGAGTTCAGACTGGCAGTTTGCCCTGATATAGGCCCGTGTGAGGAACGTTTCACAAGCGGATTAAAGGGGCCGTTCACACAGGCACATCTGTCTGGCGTTCCCCACCCGTACTCAACCCGTCTTGTAGCGCTTGCCTCCCGGGTTTAAAAGATACCTGGTGAAAGCGGTAGCAAACCCTGGAGATCCCGTTTATCAAGCTTCATTCCGCTTCCCAGAAGGGTGAACGCTAACCGCGAAAAGCCAGGAACAGCCCGCGTTACTAATGTGTGCCAGTTGTTTACACTGACTGACCTCCTGGTCTCACTCTGGCACCAGGAAGGTGCAGGTGATTGCCTTGAAGAGGGGGTAGTGCTGTTGCCGGATGTGCCTATTGGCCACAGCGGCCAGATCCTGCCCTATTTGCCGCTGCGCCTAGGCACCCATGCGCCTACCGCGAGGAAAACACAGCTTACAGCTGTGTCTCCGGGCCATCAGTGTGAACGCCCCCTCTCGCCTCCTCCCAGTATGCTGCCGCATCAGTCCGCGCAGTGTGACTGGGAAAACCCAGAACAGTTTGTTCCAGCTCTTTTTTGCCACAACTCCCTCCCGCTTCAAACTGCCAGTCTGAACTCAGCCATAGAATCATAGAGTTGAAAGGAACCTCAAGGGTCATCTAGTCAAACCCCCTGCATTATGCAGGAAATTCACAAATACCTCCCCCCCACACCCCCAGTGACCCCTGCTCTATGCCCAGAAGAGGGCAAAAAAAGCCCCTACCCTCCAGGATCCTTGGCCAAATTGGCCTGGAGAACAATTGCTTCCTGACCCCCAAAGTGGCGCACTGTCTAGCAACCCTGAGGGTTTAGAATCCCAGTTCTTCGGTAAGATAAAGTGTATTTTATTACTGCACCCAAATTTGTTTGTCACGACAAACTATGCTTAGAAGAAAGACTTTCCTTGCAGCACATGAGGCAAGAGCAGAATCATAGGCTGAGTTCAGACTGGCAGTTTGCCCTGATATAGGCCCGTGTGAGGAACGTTTCACAAGCGGATTAAAGGGGCCGTTCACACAGGCACATCTGTCTGGCGTTCCCCACCCGTACTCAACCCGTCTTGTAGCGCTTGCCTCCCGGGTTTAAAAGATACCTGGTGAAAGCGGTAGCAAACCCTGGAGATCCCGTTTATCAAGCTTCATTCCGCTTCCCAGAAGGGTGAACGCTAACCGCGAAAAGCCAGGAACAGCCCGCGTTACTAATGTGTGCCAGTTGTTTACACTGACTGACCTCCTGGTCTCACTCTGGCACCAGGAAGGTGCAGGTGATTGCCTTGAAGAGGGGGTAGTGCTGTTGCCGGATGTGCCTATTGGCCACAGCGGCCAGATCCTGCCCTATTTGCCGCTGCGCCTAGGCACCCATGCGCCTACCGCGAGGAAAACACAGCTTACAGCTGTGTCTCCGGGCCATCAGTGTGAACGCCCCCTCTCGCCTCCTCCCAGTATGCTGCCGCATCAGTCCGCGCAGTGTGACTGGGAAAACCCAGAACAGTTTGTTCCAGCTCTTTTTTGCCACAACTCCCTCCCGCTTCAAACTGCCAGTCTGAACTCAGCCATAGAATCATAGAGTTGAAAGGAACCTCAAGGGTCATCTAGTCAAACCCCCTGCATTATGCAGGAAATTCACAAATACCTCCCCCCCACACCCCCAGTGACCCCTGCTCTATGCCCAGAAGAGGGCAAAAAAAGCCCCTACCCTCCAGGATCCTTGGCCAAATTGGCCTGGAGAACAATTGCTTCCTGACCCCCAAAGTGGCGATCAGCATTTTCCTGGGCATGTAAGAATTCAGCCTGTATGTATAAATATATAAAATCCTACACAGCACAACACAGATTTGGAAAGAAGCTATGACTTGTTCAGCAATTGATGCTTAGGAGATCACGTTTAGAAATAATGCTGAATTATTTTGCTTTTGGCTAGCAGGCTCCTAGCACAGGGAGAGTTGTATGCCAAACACACAAGAGGCTTTCATTTCTCAGACAAAGAAGGTTAGTCCCACTGAAGAGAATTAACATATTCACTAATAAGTTTTCTTGAGACAGTATCGTTATGTTAAAATACTAGGAAGCTTCACAGAGTGTTTCCCGGATGATTTGTAAACCTCCCCACATGTACGATTTCCACATACTACATGCTGCTAATAACAAAATACTTTTGCTCTTTAAAAAGTCGAGTATTATCTCAAATAAAAAAAACCAGACAAGAAATCTTATAATGGGCCGGAGGGAAGGAAAGGAATGGTCAGAGATGTAGAGTTATTATCACTGCAATATTTATAATGCCTTGTTTCCTTCCATAAATTTCATCTGATGCTTTTGCTTTACTTCAAGGCCCTCAAGCTTCTAAAAAGCTTTTCACACAGTCTTGCAAGCTATTAGAACCACAAAAAATGTGGGTGCGGGGGGTTGATAATGGCGGGGGATACACACTTTTTCTGTGGCTCTAATAACTTGCCAAAATGCACGAAAGGCATTTTAGACACTTCGGGGCCTTGAAGTAAAACAACGTATCAGATGTACAGATTGAAATCTGCATATGAACAAGAGTGTTTAAAATGATTAAATAATGTTTTAACATGAAATACATTGTTTATAACTTAGCATACAAACATCCATTTGTAGAACATATAAATGCCTTACTTTGTACAAGCAAAATTGCAAATACACCCAATACTACAGCAAAACAAAGCTGGAAACAGCTGCGCCCTGCGCTGTCTTAGCACATTTCAGTTTTAAATTTTTCCAGTGGGAAAAATAGGGGAAAGTCCTCAGAGGGTTTTTCCCCCACATAATATAGAAAACAGCATTGTCCCCCCCCCCCCAAAAAAAAGTTGTTTCAGAGCTTCCCAAAATGACAAATAGAAATGCTATACAATTTGAGTTAAATGAGGTGTTTAAAAGTATTTCACTCACCCTGACCTGGATAGCCCGGGCAAGCCCGATCTCATCAGGTCTCAGAAGCTAAGCAGGATCAATTCTGACAAGTACTTGGATGGGAGACCTCCTTGAAATACCAGAGGTGGGAGGTGAGGGGCAGGCTTTATTCAGCCACCTCTCTGAATATCCTCCAGCCCCCCAGTAGGGGTCAGTCACCAGGGGTCACCATGACTTCCAGGTGCACGCACGTGCACGAACACACACTTTTTAAAAAGTATTTCACTCATTCCAATATGAAAATTATATTTCATAGTATTTTTCGGTATTCCCCAAAACTTCCATTTGAAAAAATGAAAAAGTACTCAGACCTTTCATGCTATATATAAATTTTGGGGTGAGTCTGCAAAACCTCGTCTGCAAAAGCATTTCACTCATTTCAAAGAAAAAGTATGTTTCTTAGGCGCTTCCCCCCCCCCCCCATTACTCCCTAAAGTTTCCCAATCTTTCATTGGAAAAATTGAAAAAACATCCTCAGGGAAACACATGACATCCCCCCCTCCCCTCCAGTTGTCTCTTATGGCCTTAGACCTTGTACAGAAGGGAGCATTCTGCCAGCCGCTGCTTCTACCATCATTGCACCATTTCCCAAGGGAGGTCGTGAGGTGCTGAATTTTGATTTAATCAGCCAGCCGGTTCATCTAACAAATTTTGTTACAGAAAAAGAGTGAATTTGATACACATTCTGGAATGCTGACTAAGCACAGTAATATATTTCCAGTTTTAAACCAAGATCATACTGCTGCCTTATAAAGCCAAGTCAGACACTTAATCCCTTTGGTACATAAGGAGTTGGACAATCTTTGTTCATTCTATTTTCAGAGCATTAGCATCTCAGGATCACTACCTTCCTGCCATCTGGCGAAAACTGAGGGATTTATAAGGGTATCCGGAAAGTTTTTTTTAAAAAAATATAAAAAACAAAACAGACTGATGACATGTGAATAAAATAAAAAGATGTATGAATGAAGGTCTTAAGAGCTGAGACGAGGGGAAACAATTGATGTTCCAAATGTAGCAAACGAAGGCAAGCGAAGTCACCTATTATACCAGGGAGTCGGTCACGAGGGCACCGTGTTTATATACCTGAGAAATAATACGCTCCCCATCTTGATAACTCTTCTCCCCTATTACATCCACAATCTTCATTCGCTCTGAAGGCTGCAAGAGAAAGAAAGAAAATGAATCCTGCCAGGCCCAACCCCCTTTCTGGCACATCCCAGCTAACTCAATAACAGCTTGTCGTTTGGATTTTGCTGCTGCACTTATTTTTTTTTTATTGCTTACTGGTTGATATTTATAGTCATTTGTGGCTGGCAAGCCTCCTCTTTATATGGAGGGGAGGGGTAAAAATAATTTAAATAAACAAATGCAGATTTACAACCAGCGCTTTCTGCCTAATTCTTTTGCATCGTGGGAGCTTTCCAAGAAACGATAACTTTGCTTAAAATAGCCTTGCAACTTATTACCGAGGACCTGCTTGCCCATTCACTGCTCCAGACAATTCCACACTTCTCCCCATCCCTTTCTACCTGAGATAATGCCCCTCTTGGACCTGGGAGGTCTAAAGGAAATGACAGCGGAGAATCAGACCCTCTCCTTCCCATGTCTGCCAAATCATGAAGCTGAGCACAACCACAAATGCACCGTGCCCGCTATCATTTGTCCTGGGAAGCAACGGAAAGCAGACACTGCTATCTCTTCCATCCCACACCAGTCTTCATAGGCAGCCCTTGTGTCTTTATTCTACCTCACCGGACTAGTGGGTCTCAAGCCACAAGCAGGACATGGGAGAACTGAACGTGGAGCCGATAATGAAAGGAAGGTGGCTGAGTGCTACCCTATGTCGTCAAGAGGAGACTTGCTGGATCAGACCAACCATCCAGCTAACACACAGGTCAGCCCTTTGCAGACTCCAGACATGGCTTCCCATTCTCCCACTATAAGTCCTTTGAACTTAGTGAGGCTGCTTTGTCTCAAATGCTCCCCTGGAGGTACGGAACCAGACAAACAGCCAATGACAGTGCTTTCACAGGTCCCTCCCCACCCCACTAAGGCAAGATTGACCAATCCATAAGCATTTACAAGGGCTGAAGGGCACCTATAAGGAGGTCCCCCTGCCCTGATCTGGAAAGCCCAGGTAAGCCCGATCTTGTCAGATCTCAGAAGCTAAGCGGGGCTGTCCCCGGCAAGCAATTGGAAGGGGGACCTCCAGGACTGGGAGGCAGAGGCAGGCAAATATCAAGCCACCTCTCCGAAATGTCCTAGCCCCACTAGGGGTTGCCAGAAGTCACCATGACTTCCAGGCACGCAAGCACGCACACACACACACACACACACAAATACATACATACATATCCATATAGATATGATATAACGAGAGAATTTCCCCAAAGGGAATAGTTCTTTGTGAATCACATCCCATAAAGAACTTTACCTCCAGTGACTTAAGAAGGGGTACCGATTCAATAAATAGTTCAAACGTCTTCCTTTTCCTTGCATTGTTTTTCAGTATAATTCTTCTGAACGTCACTCGATCCTTTAAGAAACAAGCACAAGAAAGGACTTTATTTTCCTTGGTCATTATGGAGTTCAGGGAACAAACACACAAAAAAGTTGGAGGATAAGCACAGAGGAGTCCTCCAAGATGGCCGAACAACCAGTCCTCAGCGGTGAAGGAAAGAGAAACAAAGAGAGTCGGCTGAGCTTCCTCCAGTGAGCGCCTGTTGTCATGCTGCCCTCAGTGGCCATTTGTGCAGAGAACTGGCCACGAATGGAACCATAAGGGTCTGCACGGCAAATCCCATGGAGAAGAACAGAAGACTCCCAATGTACCACCTTCTGGGGCAGCACAGACCTCACGCAGCAACTTCCATGTTTATTCTCACTCACCTCTGAGTAGGGATCAATGGAAGACAATGTGGCCACTAGGTGGTAGTGTAAGACACTGTGGGTTAGAAATTCTCTAAACACTGTCGAGATTGTTCTGAGGACCAAATTCCCATGTTAAGTTTTCATCTTCTCTGAATCCACATGTCCAAGGACTATGTTATTTGTGATATTAGAAAGGACAGAGCAGTGTTATTTTTGTTCCAATGCACTGTAAACTAATGCATGCAAGCAGGCAGAAACACTGACACAACCACCCCATGTTGCAAAATTCACAAACCCTTTTAACATGCAGGATTACACAAGTCTCTATTTGTGTGTGTGTGTGTGTGTGTGTGTGTGTGTGTGTGTGTGTGTGTGTCTGTGTGTCTGTGTGGATGAATAAATCAGTGTCTTTCCAGCATGGTAACAGGAACATGCTGCACAAAAAGGTTTTAACTCTGTAACTACTTGCCTTCAATAGGGCATTTTGCATGTCACTTGTTTCTTTTAAAATTCAGTATCTGCCTGCTCTCAGCCTATCCTTGCCAAAGTGATGCTCTGTCTTCTTGGTGCTTGGGGGGGGGGGGCAACAGTGGGAGGGCTTCTAATGTCCTGGCCCCACTGGTGGACCTCCTGGTGGCACCTGGTATTTTTGGCCACTGTGTGACAGAGTGCTGGACTAGATGGGCCTTTGGCCTGATCCAACATTGGCGTCTCTTATGTTCTTATTTTGTTCCTGCTTTTTTAAAAAAAACACAAACCTCATGTGAATCATAAAGGGAGCCAAAACTGAGGATAAGCTGTCCTTTAAGATATTCTACCTGAAGACTTGGCTTCACGTGCAAATATGATGCTGGAGAACTCCTTCAAATCGAAATGAAAAGGCATAGCTAAATCCCTACCTGAGAACGGAAGCATACGGCACACATCTTACTGGAGTGCCAAAATACTTTCTCCTGTCATAAAGGGCATATGGATTAGACATTTAAGATTGCACCTTCAATGTGCAATTCAAGAGGAGTTGAGAGGATTTGAAGAATGGCAATTTGACAAGGACAGATTAGAAGGTGGAGTTAATGCTGCATTTTCAGCATGACAGAAACACGTCAAAGCAGGGCAAGTATTTGCAGACCCGGGTGTTTTGTGTAGATGCAGAAAGGTAGGTCCTTAAGAGATGCCATACAGAAAGAAGGAAGATACTTTGTCTATGGTGTGAACATGACTTTATGAACAACGCAGCTGTAAATGATACCCAGCATGTGATCTGATGATGGGGAAGTATCCGATTCAACGACAGAATGGGATGAGGACATGGTTCAGTTATGACCTCAGGGAGGAAATTGAACACACACAGCAGAGTTAAGGTTTAGCCACAGCAGACGTGGGTACTACTAGGAGACTCCGGGACTTTAGTTCAAAATCTGGCTCTAACTTCATCTCTAAAGGCAAAACACTCAAAGCCACATCTTCACCCTGACAGAAATCAGACACAAGGGGTCCAAGGAGATGTTTTTATATGCTTTGGGGGTATTAGAGAACTGATGGTTCTACCAGTTATCTTTCCCACATCCATCCTCCAGTTCTTAGCACCAACTTAAAATGACCAGAGTCTCTAAAATGCCCTATACAAGATTCAGAGAGGCAGCTTTTCTATTGTAAGAGCACACTGATCCCCAGAGGAGTTAGCTCATACGACTGAAATAGATATACTGAGCATCCATGACTGGGAGATGACACAGATCTCTGGATTCATGGTGGAATTCACAAAGATCTGCACATATTTGTCACTGTGGAGAAACGCCATTTTAGGTATATGTTTAAGTTGGTGTGGGCCAGATAAGAGGAGACCATGAAACCTGAGGTAGGCTTTGGCCTAGTCTCCTCCTCATTCCCCCCCTCCTTGTTCCAACCAGCAGTCAGAGGGCAGCTCCCTAGAGAGGACAGGAAGTCCATCAAGGCTGTGAGGAGATCTGCCCCAGAATGCTGCAGGAGGGAGAGCCACTTCCTGGGTGGGAAGGGCTGTTGGATATAGTGGAGCTTTTGGGCGGGAAGCAGTTTTTGAGAACTGAGGTCGGTCTGCCTGAAGTCTGGAGCCAGTCAGGCTGTCGGCTGGAGTCTGCAGGAGGCCATGTTGGGAGTGGTGCTAATCTAACTTCCTCCAGGGAAAGCAAGTCATGTGCCTGCCCTGCAGACCATCTAGACAGGGTATGTGTAGTGAAGGGAGAGATGGAGCGATTTATTATCCACCTTTATTTTGATTCTTCAGTTCACTGTTAATATGCCTGTATATAGTTGAGTGATTTCAAAATAAATTCTTTTACTGTTGACCCTGAGAAGTCCCTCTGTACCACATTGTTCCCCCAGCCGCTTGGACACGCTAAGAGTGGGTTGGGGACTCCCTGAGGAGAATAAGGGCAAAATGGTCAGTTGCCAACTCTCCAGGGGAGCCCCAAACATTACCAGGAAGCCCCGAGGTGGGTTCCTAGCAACAGCAGAGGGAGGTTAGGAGGCTGTCCCGCCTAACCAGAGCCCAAGACAGGGACAGTGGTGGCAGCAATACCCGGAGGCAGTGGTGAAAAACTGCCCCTTCAGGTGCCAGGCCAGGCAAAGGAGGGGTGGGCAGAGCGGGGTCTGCCAGCTGACGCGGGCCCGTTCCGCCACAGTCACCATTAAAAAACATCAGGCAAAGGAGAAATCCTGTGCACACATCTGCCTCCAGTTATGTTGCTCTGAAAGCAGTGTTTGAAACAACCCCCCCCCTCAATAAAGATGGAACTAAAGGGTGAGAGAAAGGAAAGCCAGTTATGTAAGAGAAACAGGGTGACAAGCAGGGGTCTTGTTGTAGAAAAAGAGCTGCCGGAGCTCATTAGCATAACTCATTAGCATAACTTATTTGCATATGCCACGCCCCCTGGCATCACCGGAAGTGACAGAAGGCCACACCCCCTGACATCACCGGAAGTGTGTCAGAAGGCCCGGCTACTTACCCTCCTGCTTCATCCTCATTCCCAAACGGAATGAGGATCGAAGCAGAGGGCGGGGTAAAGAAGGGGGCGGGGCTTCACCACGTGACCGCCCCGCCCCCTAGAGGTTCTCTTCCGGAGCTCCGTACCTGAGAGCTCCCCCCCGACTAGAGCCCTGGTGACAAGAAAGGTGAAGGAAAGCATCTTTGGAAAGTAAGGTGGTTTCTGGAGCACAGGACACTTTTACATTGTTAAGGGATGCTTCCAAAAGCAGCCAATTGTGCGGCAGGGTGAAAAGAGTCCATGTTTTAATGGCCGCACAAGTATGGTACAAAATGTTAATTCAATTTCCGATTTTTGTCAGTGCAGGCTTGCAATGCTGCTTACAGTTAATGGCTCCTACATGTGGTGGGGGAGGGAGAGGAGAGCCTGTCATTCATAAGTGCCTCCAGGGCTGTGGCAGTACAAAAGAAGAAGGGAACAATGGGGAGGATCTCTGGGAACTTGACAGCGATGCAGGCAATTAAGTGGGAACGTAATTATAGCCAAGCAAAACTCTCAACAAGGACGTAAGTAGTGGGGCTATTTACATTTCTTTCTCGACATTTTAGTGCTTCCTTAAAAAAATTCATTCTAGAAGAACTTGATCTTGTAATTGAAAAAAATAACTGGAACAAAATGTTACCATTCGCTTTGCCCTATCTCTGATCAGTAAATTGACATTATCTTCAGTACTGCTGCTATTATTTACTTCAATTTTTTTTCCCAATAAAGAGCAAGAAAAGGATGGCGAATCTGTGAGCACACAACCAAAGATGCACAAGGATACTGGTGTACGGAGCACCAGCTGATTATCAAAATCATTCTTATTATCGTACAGATGGATTTAATAGGGGTTGCCATGAAGCCCAATGAATACAATGTATATATAATCCAAGAGACTTCAAAGGCCTCTGTGACGTCGGAATCACCAAGGCAAACTCCGGCAGGCAACTATGAAGTGCTCCAAAATTAGCAGCTGCACAAATACCACAGATTAGTGCTGGAAGGAAAGTTGTTCATTTGTAAACATATTCCAGGAAAGGCGGCAATGGCAACTGTTAGTTTTGGGGAAATTTGGCAATGCTCTTTTCAGACCCACTCTGGGAGAAGAGAATTTACACAGACATTTTGCTATCCCCATATACAGATTCCCCAAAGCAGATGCAAGAAACCGATTATACAGCAAACTGAGCAACTAGCACATTTAATATTTGGCCGTGACCCAAAAAAACTGCACAAACTGTTCTGCGTGCCCAGGGGAGTTTCCACTTGTGATTCCTCAGCAGCAGCTCGTCAAGCCAATTTGAAAAGCAGTTTGCAGCATGACACGGCAAGGGAAAGGTTTGAGCTCCAAATAATAAATTAAAGAAACTAGGCATGCAAAACAATTACAAATATGGCTACTTTTCTCTCCATAAGTAACATCTTTTGCATGTGGTGTTGCACTTTTTTTGGCAATTTTTGCTGAATAATAAGAAACCCAATAAAATAAACCTTTAGCCAGCAATCAGAACATCCATCCCGCTCCTGGCCCACCCTGCATGGGGAGAGCAACCAAAGGAGATGAGAGTCGGAAGATCTAAAATCTGTCATAAGGTACTGGCTGTCTGGAGCCTCTAGGACCGAGAGCTGGTTTCTAGGGAATACTATTACAGTTTGGTACAACCCCTTTCCAACCAGACTGCAGTTTGGTAGAATGGCTAAGACCTCCAAAGGTCTAATATAATCCATTTTTTGAGCTATTCGGAAATGAAAATAAAGATATAACAAGCCCTGGCAAATCAGGAATTGGCAAAGTAACATGTTGATGAGGTTGCAGGAAGAGTAAGAGCTTGTAAACATGTTTAGCATTGTATAATACAAACAAATTAGAACAACTTCACCCAAAAAAGGAAAAACTTACCAGCCCCCAAAGGGCCCCTTCTGTTGTAGCAACAATTGTCGCAGCTCTAGGAGTGTTGTACATCAAGGCCAGCTCTCCAAAGCTGCCACGGTTATCATAGCGGCCAACACAACGGGACTGGCCATCTCGAGATACAAAAATATCGTACAATCCCCTACAATCACAGAGGGAAGAAAACGTGGGCATTAAAACTAATGAAAATACTCATAATAAAGAAGCCCTCACTGGCACAAACTCAAGGAAGAATGGCTCTCTCGTTTCCCCCCCCCCCAATTAAACAAGATAAGTTTTCAAGCCTCTCATCTGTGGTGTAGATAGAGCATACCCCTGCCTGCAGTTAAACAACTTGCCCTTTCCTTTTGCTCTCTTTGTGTTTAGATACCTCCTAACAAAAATGGCACATGCTTCCTATAGGGATGGAGCCTACGGCTTCAGGAGAAGAAGAGGTTCACACAGTGGTGTATTTCCCCATACTTTTTCTTTCCCACAGCAACCTGCTGTGACCCCTAAAAAAGCACTGCTGGGGGGGGGGGGCACAGGAATGTACAGGGGACTGTAGTGAGGAGGGGAAATCAGACAAAATTATCCCCATCTTGCTCTTATGCCCAAGCAAAGCTTGCTCTGTCTCCTCTGCTTGGAGTAGAGTGAGGTAGGAGCGAGTTTGCCTGATCACCCTCCTTAGTGCAATCACCTGTGCCCAGAGCCCTTTTGTCCATAGATCCCATGACCCCCCCCCCTTTCCCTTTGCAGGGGTCACAGAGGGTAGTTGGAGGAAGGGAGACAACAGAAAAGACCACCACTGTGAGTGCCTTCCATTTGCCCAATTGCACAACCATGCATAGACAAACACATTCTGCAACTGGTTTTTGTAAAGTAGTCAGGTTGTACTTCCAAATGAGGGTCTTGTTTCTAGAAATTCGACTGTTCAAACAGAAACCCAGTCACTTCATAACCAGACGTTTTCTATGAGCAAAACTCCAAGGCAATGTCCCTTCAACATTTTCAAGTGGCTTTTTAAACAGAACAACTTCTCTAAAAGTCTATGGAAATATTCTTGGAGTGACTCTGACTTGCGTTACCACAACCACCAATCCACTGCATTCCTCAGGCTTACATCTGTTAGCATACAAGTTCCACAGGAAACCACAAATTGACATGTTTTACCGTATCTGTAGAAGAATTAAGTTCATCTCCAAAACCTTCGCCATGAAAAATGTTTGAGAGGCAAAGGTGACATGGCCATCCCAAACCCTTTTGAAAAGGAGATCAACACATTTCATGACCCTAACTAATAAATTACATTCTTCCTACACAGAGATGGTTTGATGACGATGAATCATAGTTTGTACAAGTTATGTTTACAAACCAGCTTCGTTCGAAGTCCTGGTCTGGCATTCATCCACAAAGCTTGGTTTGGAAAATAGGGGAAAGGTCATGTGTGGAGGAGAAAAGTCTTAATTATCACTTTGGCAGGTCAACTCTATCACATCTAAAAACCAAGAACAAATAAAAATACCAGTGTTTTATATGATGCCCAAGTTCAGCTATGGATTGTGAAGGTAGGTAACAAAAATACTACCTAGCTTGAGTTTAGACATCGTGATAAATGGTGGTTTGTTTAAACTGTGGTTTGTGCAATCAAGTCTGGTTAGTCTATAATGTGAAGTAAAAGGCAGCTTGGGAAGGAGAGGAGCTCTTGTATGAGCAGCTCCCCTTCAGCATTACCTGTTGTTAATCAACCAGAGGCTGACTCATCCTCCTTTATTGGTTAGCTCCCAATCAGTGTGATTGGCTTTCAGTGGGGTGTGGAGGTTTGGCCTAAGCTATTTATTTAGGGCTTCTGTGGGCAGGCCCAAACTCTGCTAGGTAGCAGTCCCCACTCCTGCGCTGAAGTGTCCCAGCTCCAGTGACAAAAGTGTTTGGAACAAGGGAATAAACAGACGAGTTTAGAAGACGAGTGAGTTCAGCAGCAGGGCAAGGAAGCCAGGGCACTAGTCTCTCCATGTCTGTAAAAGGGTAAGCACACTTTCCACAAAGATCTACATAAATAGGAAATTTATTTTTTTTTAAAAAGATTTTAAAAAGCAATTCTGAAGGTAGAATGCCAGCAAGGGGTGGGGGGGCTATCCAGTGTATTGCACTGAGTGCAACATGTATCTGCCAGCTTGATAGAAGTCAGGGGTGTGTGCTCAGTGCAAGGAGCTCTGGTTCTCAGGAAACAAGTTCACACCCTTGAGGCCAAGGTGGCTGACCTGGAGAACCAGAGCCAGTCAGTTAGGCATACGGATAAGACTCTCGGGGCTTTCTTAGATATGTCCCACTCTGAGAATGGTAGCCATGTTGCTGTCAGGGAACATGAGGGTGAAGGGGAAACAGGGAACCATCCTGAAGAAAGGGGGAATTGTTCTCAGAAGGGACTCCTTCTTTAGCTGGTGAACAGGTATCCTTTCGCACCAAGGAACCATCTCCTGGCAGGGAGGGAAGGTGGCTCTTGATAGTTGGTGCTGGTAGACAGTGCTGTGGAGGAGCCAAGGATCATGGTAAATGTTGGCACCAATAGTGTGGGGAAATGCAGTTGTGTGGTCCTGGAGGAAAAATTCAACCTACTAGGCAGGAGACTCAAGGCCAAGACCTCCAAAGTAGCCTTCTCAGAAGTGCTGCCTGTTCCAGACAGGCACAAATTAGGAGTCTCAATGCATGGATGAGACAATGGTGTACAGAAGAACGATTTACATTTAATAGGCACTGGGTGTCAGGATCCACAGCAAGACAATAAAGTACACGCTTCTAGGAAGGTTTTACTTTTATTGAAAAGCCATAGATGCAGTAACATGAACACTGTTAGGAATGGCAGGTTACCTATGCGCATAATAGGATATAGGGCATTCGTATGCGCCCCCCCTCCAAGTGCTACCCAATTAGATGGGCTCCCACGTGCGGGCATTTGGCAGATTCACTAACTGCCGCGAAGCTGGGAAAGAAAAAAGCTTCCCACGAAACCTAGACACACCAACTCCTCCAGTGACCTTGAAAGATACGCGTTACAGCTCAGATGCAATTAAGCGCATGGGAAGGAATGGAAAGCAATTAGGAACATACACCACACTCATGGCAGCCATAGCTGACACTGGGATGCTTTTCAGAACAAGCAAGAACTGTACAAAAGAGACAACCTCCACTTGTCCCAAGAAGGAACCCGGCTGCTGGTGCTTAAAATCAAAAATGTTGCAGAGCAGTTTTAAAACTAAATCCTGAAGGAAAATCGGCAGGACATGAAATGTCTGTGGTCCAGGAAGGCTCATCTCTAAGAGATGAAGGGGTAGCTGTTACTGTTCTAGAAGGAAATTGATTAGGACTGGACACTGACAGGGTGATAAACAATACTGACTGCCTGAAAAGGTCTAGAGGCCATAGGAGGAAGGTTGCAGGCCTAACGTGTCTGGGGAATTATAGATGTTTATTTGTAAATGCTACAAGAGTCTGAGGTAAAATGGAGGGAGCTGGAATGCTTAGTGTCAGGAGAACACAGACATTGTAGGCATTTCAGAAACTTCATGGGATGAGAATAATCAGTGGGATACAGTGATTCCAGGATATAAATTATATTGGAAGGATAGGGAGGGAAGAGTCGGAGGTGGAGTAGCTCTGTATGTCAGAGAGGGTATGCAGTTCAGTAAAACTGAGAATCTAAGAGAAACTCGTAGAGTTCGTTATCGCCCACCAGATCAAAGGTTAGAGGATGATTTAAAAACAGCAAAAGAATGAAGGGAAGCAACTAGATGAAATAACTATGTTGTAATAGGTGATTTGAACTTTGTTGTTCAGTCGTACAGTCGAGTCCGACTCTTCTCCAGGCCCTCCTGTCTTCCGCCATCCTCTGAAGTTTGCTCAATTTCATGTTCGTTGCATCTATGACACTGTCTAACCATCTCATCCTTTGCCGTCCCCGTCTTCTTTGACCTTCAATCTTTCCCAGCATCAGGGTCTTCTCCAGTGAGTGCTCCCTTCTCATTTGGTGGCCAGAGTATTTGAGCTTCAGTTTCATTATCTGGCCTTCCAGGGAACAGTCAGGGTTGATTTCTTTTAGGATTGACTGATTTGATCTTCTTGCAGTCCAAGGGACTCTCAAGAGTCTTCTCCAGCACCATAATTCAAAAGAATCTATTCTTTGGCGCTCGGCCTTCCTTATAGTCCAACTCTCGCAGCCATACATGACTACTGGGAATACCATTGCTTATAGTATGTGTTCAATTTGCTCCCTTTTGCTAGAGAGGCCGCTTCTTTGCCGCGCCGCAGGATTGTCCTGTGATCGGCACCTCCCCCCTAACCACGGGACCTCGACGGGACCTTGACGGGACGTCTGATCGCGCAGCCGCGCGTTATTTTGCTCTGGGCCAAACAGCCATGCCTCCCCCCCCCCCATTTTCCTGCCCGTGTGACCGGGGCCTGAGGCTTGTTAAGCCATGGTTTATAAACCACAGTTTATCAAACTCTCTAAATTCAGGCCCACTTGTGTTGTGGTCTTGTGTAGCCTATGCATATTCTTTCCAAGTGATGAATGAACCATTATATGCAGTGCTGCTCCTTGAATATGTTTGCTATCATTCACTCTTGACCATCTCTCCTTAATTTAAAAAAGCACACATCTAGCACTCCTAGTTATTATACTACTTACTGGAATACCACTAGGAGACCACTGAGTCGTTAGACAAGGAACTAAGTCATAAAATTAATAAAGCTGTGCTTTGGTGTCTTACCGTTCAATGACATAAAAGTTGTCTCCATCGTCTCCCTGGTCAATTACATGTTCCTGAGGTTGCACTTTCCTTTCAAACATGGCATCGAGAACCTGTGACAGTTGCTCCTGAAAGGGCAACAGTGCTTTGGTTGGTATTACTTGCAAAAGGAATTTTTAAGGCAAAACTACTTTTAATGCCCCAAATTATCTTCTTTATGCACAGAGTTCACATTCAATGTGTTTTCAGTCACTGACTCTAGCAATCATAATGTTAATATTTCAAATATTTCATTGCCTTCACAGAGCTTTCTCCCTCTAAGGAAAACATGTATATTTGGTACTGCATGAAGCATGCTTTAATTTTTTTACACCACAATAAGGACAAAAGTAACCACTGCACATATTGGTTCCTTGAAAGAATTAAAATACTATACATTACATTACAAGGGGTGTGTGTGCATGTATATATATTTCCCCACACAAACGACAATTATTTGCATGTAGAGAAAATACATCACATATGAAGGAGTACTGCACTTATGAAATTCCTGAAGTATGTACTTGCTTGGGGCAACTAATGGTACCGCAGGGCTCATCACTGTGCCACATTAGTTTCCATCTGTAATGTGGAGACTTGGCTCATCTCATAAGGCAGCCATGTGAGGTAGCAGTCAAAGAATTTTGCAAAGTACTATTCAATGGGTATAAGCACTGAATAGTCAAGGCCAGGTGGAGCATATTTCACGCATGGACACACTAAAGATTACCCTATAGCTAGCATGCAACTAAATGGCTGGTTTCACTAAAATGGAGGTACCCATGCAAAGTCAAAATGGTTTGTTTTTATCATAAAATGCTGTTTGTGTGTTTCAACCCCTTTCCCCAATTTAACAAACTCTGGAGAGTTGGCATACCAGGGAGAAGGCCGCTCTTTTTAGCTTTCCAGAAGCAGAGACAGGATGCTTAAAAATATTTTTTTAAATGGGTATCACTGTGCCATTCCACCACCTGCAATCTGAAGCTATGCAATGAAGAAAAGACTGCACTGTGTGCTTTGCCTACATTTGAAACGATTCTGTGAGAGGCAAGAAGGAAAAAGTGAGTGGGATGAGGGACGTATGAAAAAGTAAGAGAGTCAAGAAAATAAGGGTCTTGACTAACAAAATAGTTTGCATTCAATAGTAAATATCACCAGGAAACATAATTAACGTACACACTACAAAAATGAGGGGAGGCTTGCCTAACAAGAAAAAATTGATGTGTGATTACGGCATGTGTGCTTCGATGCAGACTAAATTATGGTGGAAGTATTTCTTGTAAAGAAGCTATACTTTCAAGCCACAATTTTAGTTAATCGTTTGTGAAACTGTGATTCTAGAATGGATTTGTGGGACTAGCTCAGACACTCATTGGTGTACATAGCTTTGCTTGCTGAGATCCAAGTTCCTATTTCGTTAGGGGTTTTTTTGGTCCTCTATCTGATGTCATGCGTTTCAAATTCTGCACAGAGATTTTTGCCCATCCTTAGCACATAAGAAAACTTGTCTGTGTCCAAATATAACCTTTCCAGTTTGGGTGATATTAGATCTATTAATATCCAGCCGTGTTAATCAGCCTTTTCTAACAAAACGTTTTCTGAACTTTTAGTTAGTGCTATTTAATAACAATGAATATTGGGGCCTATTACTCACACAAGTCTATAGTATTCATTGTTTAAATTTTTGACTGGCACAGAGACTTGTGAAATCTGTTCTCAGTTGCTGCTGGAATTCAATGTTGCTTCCTTTTGCATTATTAAAGCCAAATGCACTACAGTCAACATTTTGAAAGCGCAAGGGATTATCTCAGTGGTCGCTAATACTTGTGAAATAAACTCTGCCAGGGTTTATACCATTTCTGGTGGGTGGAGTCTGGAAGATTTTGGAAATATAGTAATCTGGGGAGCTGACATACAGACAAAAGGCTGTTCCTTCCTGTACAAATCTTATCAAAGGAAGTTCCAGGGCTTTCATCATACCAGGATCCCCAATGGTCATGCGGTCTTTCTAAACCATTACTAAAAGGGTTCACATCATAGGTTAAGTAGTCTTCAACTAAATCCAAATTAAATACAGTTAAGAAGAAATCCACTCCATTTATCCAAGGACAAGCCCAATAACATTCAGAACACTATATTGGCAAACAGATTAGATAAGGAAAAGCAGGGCATTTTTGCCCACTGTTTACATATTATACTTGGCTTAAAATGTATGCCAGAATGTTTCACACTTTTCTAATGATTGCACATTCTAACAACTTGCAAACAGCTGAAGACTGCTATAGAACAGGACCTTCTAGCTGCCCCATTAGAAGCACGGGGCATGGCAAGATGGAGTGAGCCCAATGTGTCCCATCCCAGATCAACGACACAGTATTATAGAATCACAGAGTTGGAAGGGACCTCCAAGGTAATCTAGTCCAACCCCCTACACAATGCAGGAAATTCACAAATACCCCCCCATACACACACCACCAGTGACTGCTGTTCCATGCCCAGAAGATGACAAAAACCCTCCAAGATCCCTGGCCAAACTGGCCTGGAGAAAAATTGCTTCCTGACCCCAAAGTGGTAATCAGCATTTCCCTGGGCATGTAAGAAAGGGCCACAAGAACTAAGCACCTTCGTGCCCTCCCTCTCGTGATCTGCAGAAGTTCATACAATCAGCATTGCTGTCATATGGTTATCTAGCCTCTGTTTGAAAACCCCCAAAGAAGGAGAACCCACCACCTCCCGTGGAAGCCTGTTCCACTGAGGAACCACTCTGTCAGGAAGTTCTTCCTAATGTTTACCCGAAAATGCTTCAGATTTAATTTCAACCCAACTGGTTCTGGTCTGACCTTCTGGGGCAACAGAAAAAACAACTCTGTAGCATCCTCTATATGACAGTTATCATGTCACCTCTCAGTTGCCTCCTCTCCAGGCTAAACATACCCAGCTCCTTCAACCTTTCCTCATAGGACTTGGTCTCCAGACCCCTCACCGCTTCCTGACCCCAAAGTGGTAATCAGCATTTCCCTGGGCATGTAAGAAAGGGCCACAAGAACTAAGCACCTTCGTGCCCTCCCTCTCGTGATCTGCAGAAGTTCATACAATCAGCATTGCTGTCATATGGTTATCTAGCCTCTGTTTGAAAACCCCCAAAGAAGGAGAACCCACCACCTCCCGTGGAAGCCTGTTCCACTGAGGAACCACTCTGTCAGGAAGTTCTTCCTAATGTTTACCCGAAAATGCTTCAGATTTAATTTCAACCCAACTGGTTCTGGTCTGACCTTCTGGGGCAACAGAAAAAACAACTCTGTAGCATCCTCTATATGACAGTTATCATGTCACCTCTCAGTTGCCTCCTCTCCAGGCTAAACATACCCAGCTCCTTCAACCTTTCCTCATAGGACTTGGTCTCCAGACCCCTCACCATTTTTGTTGCTCTCCTCTGGACACATTCTCTATACCCTTCTTAAACTGTGGTGCCCATAACTGAACACAATACTCTAGGTGGGGTCTAACCAGAGCAGAGTAAAGTGATACTGCCACTTCGCATGATCTGGACACTATACTTCTGTTGATACAGCCCAAAATCGTCTGTCCCGTTATCTCTAGAAAACCTACAGGATAGCGATTTAGCGCGATTGTTTGTGGCTATTGTTTCATTACTGTAAGACTGTAGTGACAATTCTAGGCCTATCCTGTATGGATTTGTCTAAGATCCTTTCAAAGCCATCTCAGACACTGGTCAACACTGCATCCTTAGAACATAACAGCAGCCTTTCTGGATCAGACCAGTGTTTCATCTAGTCCAGTATCCTGTTTCACACAGCAACCAACCAGTTGCCCTGGAAGGCCAAACAGGGCACAGAGGTCAAGACCCGCCCGTTGCAGCCTCCCAGCACCCGGATTCAGAGGTTTATTGCCTTTGTACATGGACACTCACTGCAGCAGTAAACTACTTAACTTAGCAGTTTAACAGTCGTTCGACTGTTTCTCCTGAATCCCCACCATTCAGTTTTGTTAGGTAATACTAACTTCTCATCTTATGGCAGAGAGGGAAAGGTGTCTATGTATAGCTCCTGTAATCAAACCACAGGATTGTATAAGTAACACATCTCCCAAACAGTGTTCCCTCTAAACTGAGTTAGTATGAGCTAGCTCACAGTTTTTTAGCTTCCGGCTCACACATTTTTGTCTCAGCTCGGGAAGGATGGCTCCAGAACAAATTAATTTAGGCAGCAGCCAAATCACTCGCTCACAATTTTAATGCCAGTAGCTCACAAAGTGGAATTTTTGCTCACAGGACTCCACAGCTTAGAGGGAACATTGCTCCCAAATGCCCTCTATTACCTGAACTAGAAGACCCCCCAAATGCTTTACAGCCTTTCTTCATCCCAGCCTCTTGATCGTTTTGCTTACCCTTTCCCTAGCTCCACAGTGCCGTTTTTGAAATGGAGCAACCAGAACAGTGCCTGTACTACAATCGTGGCCATACTGTACATGTATACAAAAGCATGATGGCATTCGTTTCTACTTTCCATCACTTTCCTAATAAGCCCCAGCATGGAATTTTCTTTTTCACTGCTCTTCTGTTTTTATTGAGGAAATCACCACAACCAAAATCTCTCTGTTGGATATCCTCAGCCAGTGAACATGAGAATTGGGGGGGTGGGGTATTTGTGCCAGTGTGCTTCATTTTACATTCTTCTTGATCCTAGGGGGAAGAACTAGAGAGAGAGTAAAGCATTGGCATTTCCTGCAATGTTTTTTACAAACTTTTTAGGAGTACCACAAACCCACTCTGAAGATCAAGGAATGGCTGCTGGGGCAGGATTTAACCATTTCTCCTGCACTTTTCACCCATTTAAATCCCCCCCCCCCGCCAGCAGCATTAACTGCCCAGCAGGAAGACTCACTACTGCTGAACCTTTTTTCCCTCCGAGATGTAATTGCAGTTTTGCACGAGGGATGCATTTCAATCAGCTAAGGTAGGAAAGGAAAGGCCGATGCAAACCCTCCTCCCAGCAAACCTTCTGGATCTTCAAAGCAGCCATGTGAGGCTCATAATTAATTTTCAAAAACCTGCAGGAGATCGCAACCA